TGCACATGGCAAAATTAAGAGCATTGTTCTTTTGAAAACGACATAAACTTTAGGATTTTTGTTCACTAGAAACAACATAAACAACTGATTGAGAAAATAGTGCATGAATAGTTATTGAAAAACCCCGTAGAAACCAGTCTGGTAGCTAAAATAGAAAAGAGTAAATTTACATGGTTGAAAAATATACAAATTTACCATATTATGAAGTATGAATTTGCCATGGCTAAACAAAAAAAATGCCATGGTCAGGAAAATAAAATTTTCATGCCCAACCAATGCTTTGCGATGGTATAAAGTATGAATTTGCCATGGTTCAAACAAATAAAAATGCCATACTCATATAAAATAAATTTTCCATGGTTAAAAAATAGTAAATTTGCCATGGATAGAAATAAAATTTGCCATGTTACATAATTAAGAATTTCCATGATATAGTACTAAATAAAGAATGATCTCCAAAAATAATGGCAAATGTGGAAAAGTTTATATCATGGTACATTTTAAATAAAGTATGGAAAATTTGTTTATCTACACACAAGAAAATGCATCTTAAGTTGCAATGACGTCGTCTTTTTAGTTGCCATCGAAAAAAAAAATCAAAGATGACATGGAAAAAACATCTTACTCAGCCATGGCAACATTCTCCGATATAGGTATGGCGAAGACACTAGGAAAGTTACTATCATGGCGATATATGAAAAATAAAGTATGGCAAAGTTGTTTTATCTAACACATGATTTTTTTTGAAATGGTGAATGCATCTTGAGTTGTACTGATATCGTATTTATAATTGCCATGGCAAAGAAATTTCAAATGATTATACCTATTGCAATGGCCATGGGAAAAGTTTATGCCATGGGAAAAAAATAAAGATCAAATTTTCCATATTCTCAAACTATTTTGTAACTGCAATGGCAAAACTCTTTGGATAAATATGGCAAAAGACACAACAAAAGTTGCTATAATGGTAACACGTGCTTTTACTTTCCATGGGCCTAAAAAGATTTTCATTTTGCACATGGCAAAATTAAGAACATTGTTCTTTTGAAAAGACGGCAACTTTAGGGTTTTTGTTCACTAGAGACAACATAAAAACCTATTGAAAAAATAGTGTCTGAATAGTGATTGAGAAAACATAGCGACTGACCTGGTAGCTAAAAAAAGAGTTAATTTTCCGTGGTGAATACAATAATTTTCCATGGTTGAAAAATATATTTATATATTTTACATATTATGAAGTATGAATTTACATGGCTAAACATTAAAAAAGTGTCGTGGTCAGCAATTTTTTTTGCCATGTCCAAACTATGATTTGCCATGGCATTAAGTATGAATTTTCCACGTATCATACAAATAAAATGCCATGCTCATATAAAATAATATTGCGATGGTTAAAAAGAGTAAATTTGCCATGGCCAAAATTAAATTTTGGCATGATATAGTAGTAAAAAAGAGTGATCTCCAAACATAATGGCAAACATGGAAAAGTTTAGGCCATGGGAAAAAAATAAAGATCAAATTTTCCATATTCCCAACTATTTTGTAACTGCAATGGCAAAACTCTTTGGATAGATATGGCAAAAGACACAAGGAAAGTTGCTATCATGGACACACATGCTTTTAGTTGCCATGGACCTAACAAGATTCTCATTTTGCACATGGAAAAATTAAGAACATTGCTCTTTTGATAATAATGGCAACTTTAGTTTTTTTCCCCACTAGATACAACATAAACAACCGATTAAAAAAATAGCATGTGAATAGTTATTGAAAAAACAGAGCAACCAGTCGGGTACAATTAAGGAAGAAAGAAAATGGAACAAAAACTAAAACAAAATAAAAATAATGAGGTTTTCTAAGAAGGAATGAATTCGTGGCTTTGTTATTACCATTTAAGAAGAAAGAAAATAAAGTAGAAACTCACAAAATCAAAATAGTGAGGCTTTTCAGGAATACTGAATTAGTGGCATTGGTATTACCTTTTATGAAGAAAGAACACAAATAGTCATAGTTCTAAAGAAAACAATGAGAAATTTTGCACACAAAAGTTACACTTTTTAAAAATATGTAAGAATAAACATATACAGTGGGATTTTTTTTTTCAAAAAACAAGTTTTGTAAGAAGGAATGATTTAGTGGCATCTGTAGTACCTTACAGAAGAAATGAAATAATAATAGAATCAAGATAATAAAATTTTATAAGGAACAATGAATTAGTGACATTGGCATTACCCTCTAAGAAAAAAGAAAATGGTATATAAAAAACTTACACACAACTTGGCACTAAAATTGCACTTTTTTGTAGTATGCAAAGAATAATCATGTAATAATGCAATTTTCATACATATTTTATAGTATTTGTCTGTATACATTCATACTCAGCATCCAAGGAATACCCCAAAAAACAACTAATAAAGAAAAATAAAAGGTAAAAAAGAAAAGAAAAGAGCAAAAACGAATAAAAACAGAAAACCAGGAAGGAACAAAGTGTGAGAGAGGGGAGGGCTAGGTCACACATGTAACGTGCTTATCTTCCCTAATAATAAGACACCTATTGCTTCTGGTCGTATGTCACTTAAATCACCCCTGAAGTTGTTATAAATTACCCACTATGCCACCTATAAGTAAATAAAAAGATTCAATTTTTCTTTTTAAAAAATTCGCTGCGGTGATTGATTCTTATAAGATGTTCCCCTTAAACTAGAAGACTAGGAAATTGGCGCAGTTGTCAAGGGGTTAGAATTTCGTGTGGCGGACCCAGGTTCGATCTCCGGATCACCTTACTTCTTCACTTTTTTTTGAGGGGATCACTTTTTCTCTTCTTTTCTCTGCAAGCGCTCCTCCTCCTCCGCACGTGTATGGGCCGGCCCATGGGCGTGAGGTCCCATGCTGTTTCTTCTTATTTCTGTTTATGTTTTTCCTATTTATAATTAATTCGAGATTTTTAAAAATTCCAAATTTCAGAAAGTTGTGACGTGACTTTTTTTAGAAATCATAAATTGAATTTCAGAAAGTTGTGAGCTGAAGATTTTTTTAGAAATCATAAAATATTCGTGAATGCAAAAAATGGTAGGGAACTAAAATATTGTTCAAGATTTTTAAAAACTGTTTGCATATTATTTAAAAATCACGATTTCAAGTAAATGTTCATGATTTTTAAAAAGTGATCGTGAACCCACGATATATTCAACGATTTGAAAATTCAGGATTTTTAAAAATTCAAAATTTCAGAAAGTTGTGACGTGAAGATTTTTTTTAGAAATCATAAATTCAATTTTAGAAAGTTGTGAGCTGAAGAGTTTTTTTAGAAATCATAAAATTTTCATGAATTCAAAAAATGGTAGGGAAATCATAAATTGTTCAAGATTTTTAAAAACTGTTTGCATATTATTTAAAAATCATGATTTCAAGTAAAGGTTCATGATTTTTAAAAAGTGTCAGTGAATCCTAAACCTATTCAACAATTTGTAAATTCGGGATTTTTAAAAATTCAAAATTTCAGAAAGTTGTGATGTGAAGATTTTTTTTAGAAATCATAAATTCAATTTCAGAAAGTTGTGAGCTGAAGTTTTTAGAAATCATAAAATGTTCGTGAAATCAAAAAATGGTACGGGAAATCATTAATTGTTGAAGATTTAAAAAAATATATTTGCATATTATTTAAAAATAACGATTTCAAGTAAATGTTCATGATTTTTAAAAACTGATTGTGAATCCAAAAATATTCAGAAATTTAAAATAATGTCCATGAAATTTTAGAAAATGTTCACAAAAAATTCAAACAAAGACGTAAATTACGAACAAAATGAACCATCGCTTAGATAAAGCTCTTTTAGGGGAAATACAGAGGTTGTTTTATGATTTTATTTAATCCATCACACATTGGTTAAGAAGGGTTTTTGTGTTCTATACAACGCTTGGCCCCAGAAAAATTAACACAACTTCTATGGGTTAACTTTTGTAAGCTATATGAAAATGACTAAATGTCTAATATTCCTCAAAACATAGCTATCTTTATTCTGGTATTGTAGTTGTACTGGTTATGAAAAGCACCACGATGCTAGGTCAAGGCGAGACACATCATTTATCAGTCTAGCTTAGGTAGGGTTCATCAATGCAGCTTGCTTAGACAAAAGATATTTCATTGTGGCGCCTTAGGAGATCAAGTCATGAGACCATCACGTTTTCAGCTTTTGAAACGACTTCTTGAAAGCCCCTTATCTCATCGTGACATGATTCAGATGTAGTTTATGAAATGACATTTTTAAAGTCCTTATCTTATCCTGACATAGTCTGATTGTTTTTTCCCGTTGCAACGCACGGGTGGCATATTTGCTAGTAGTCCTAAACAAAGGGTAATGTGCTTCGGCCCGTTAAAGATTTGGCTGACGCAAGTCCGTTGTTGAAAAACGGAGCCCAAAACAACTCACGGAAGAGAGTAGGAAAAGAAAAGGGAGCACGAATCTTAAAGCAGAAATCAACGGCTAAAAACGTTGATCGGGCCAAACTTAATTTTCTGGCGATTTGCATATGGCTAAGGTGTTCTTGAGCCGTTGTGCACAAGCACAGCTGCCAGAGTGCATAATCGCCAGCCCTTATTAAGCCCTGCTCCAAATTTGGCGCCAAGCCTACCTTAACTTAGCAACCACAAACTCATCTTCTATTTACGCTCCGCTCGCCGCGCAGCCGACGGTTCCCTTCCTTCCATCCCACAAAACCCCCGGCACCATCGCCATTGATCGACCGCCTCCTCCGACCCACCACACCATTAACCTGAAACGGAGGGGGCGCTGCCCATCGCCGCTATCACCCATCCCGACGATCGAACGGCGCCACGTACGGCGGCGACGGTCACATTGCACATTGCACGCTCCGCCCACGCCGAGGGAGGTCATCCATCGGCCTAGCATCTCCTAAGGTCCGACGGCCGCGGTCCCAGCCCCGGCCGTCGGTGCGCATTCGCCTCCGTTCTTGGATAAGCTAGCTAGCGGCGAGCGAGCATGGCGTTGGGACTCCGGGAAGGCGGCGCCGGCGAGCTGCAGGGCAAGGAGGGCAGCGGTGAGGCCACGGCGGCGGCTCCGGCGTACCGCTACGCCGCGAGCGACTCGTTCGCCTACGACGACATGCCGCCGCTGCCGCAGCAGATGGACCGGCAGCCGCCCCTGGTGCTCGGCGGGGAGGGGATGCTCGGCGACGGCCGGATCCCGGCGTCCGTGTTCGAGCGGGACACGTCGGATCCCGGCAAGGACTGGAGCATGATGTCCACCGAGTCGGTGTTCGGGCTCCAGGTCGCGCCCTCCTGCGACTTCACCGGCTACTTCCTCTCGCACCCGGAGCTCATGGACATCGCCACGCCGCCCCGCGACAGCTCCGCCGACGTCTCCCGCCCCTCCGCCACGTCCACGCCGCGGCAGTTCAATGCCGTCCCGGAGCTCGGCGACGCCGCCCCGAGCTACTCCTTCGCCTTCCCCAAGTACGCCACGCATTCGGTCGCGTCTTTTGCATTGTACACATGCACGTCCATGTCCATCCGTCCGTAATTCCTCACTGATGCACAACACTTGTGAATTGTGACATGTGCAGCCTGATGGAGGACAGGAGGTACAGCTCCAAGAGAGCTCAGGAATCTAGCGAGATGCCGGCGACGCCGAGAACGGCGCGGGCGGGGGAGCCGGCTGCGGAGACGACGGCGCTGGGGGAGGGGGCAAGCAGCAAACCGGAAGCGGAGCCGGAAGCGCCGAAGGGAGGCATGTTCTCGTGGTTGCCCTGCTGCTCTTGATAAACAACGTCAATGGATCGCCGGCGGCAACCGGCTAGGAGGGGTGCTCATCTTGTCGGCCCCGTCACCGGCGACGCCAGCTCGAACAGTCGAAAATGGTGGCCAGAGACAGGAAAAGGAAGTAAGAAATTATGGATCGATTCGAAGGACAAAAAACACAATCAAAAGCAGTTTTTAAAATTTTCTTTGCCCCAGAGTGGTGTCTTGTAATAGATTGCTTCCCTTTTTGGTCACAAATGTCGTCCACAACGATGAATTTTGAGATTTCTGTGAATTATCCATTCAACATTTCAGATCTTCTGAATGTATATAACCAGAGAAAAAACAGGTTAAATTCATGTAAGGTGCTGTAACTACCTAACTAGATGCATGACATTTCTCTATGCAAAAGAAACCCCCTGCACAATACAGAAACCAGCAAAAAATGCTAGTATCAGATTCGTCACCGGTTCACGACACTGCGGAAATACAAGGTAGATTGCAGTTACTGATATGATGCAAATAAAGGAGCAATTTATACATGTTCAATGCCAACCCAATCTCTCCACAGCAGTAAAAGTGTATCTGCTTGGCCCTTTACAACACACAGAACAGGCTTCATGAACACATACCATTGAACTAGGGTGATTCACTACTGGCTGCCGGAGGCCGGAGCGCCATCTTCGCTCTGCACACCTTCAATGGCCAGAATTTTCTTAACAACTTGCTTGGGTATATCAAGGTCATCTTGCATGCAGCGTAGCAAGGGGTGTGATAAGATGATGCATATCTGGCGGAACAGGACCCGGGCAAGCCCTTGGCCGCTCTCAAGAATGTAGCCCTCGTACTGGCTGACATGCTCGAGGGCATCAACCAGCGCGTCATACACATTTTGTGGGCAGTTATCAGCAGTAGGCTTGTCGTGCAGATAGACTATGTCCATGGTGAAGTTCTTTGGCTTTACGGGCCACAGATGGTGGGGCTTGGTTGAGGACCGGCAGTAGATGAGCACCTGGAATAATCAGTTCTCATGGAAATCAAAACCGAGTTGCAATCCACAAATAACAACAGCAGACATACACAAAGCAGTACTGTACTATATAGGACATAACTTATTCATATTGTTAACCTTCTGTGGACATCAACCTACTGGGCCATTCCAGTTTAGAATTGTACTTGCATTTTATACATGTCGTGAGATGCAGTGAGCCTTCTTACAAATACAAAAAGAATGAAATCAAACCATTCTCCACCAAAAACAGTTTAGAATTGTATTGTTAAACTTATACTCCTTCCGTCCCATAATGTAATTAGTGTCAAAAAAGTTTACATTATGAGACGGAGGGAGTACATTTTATAAGTTTTTTCGACCCTCTGTTGACACCAACCTACTGTGCCTTTTCAGCTTAGAATTGTACTGCATTTTATACATAACACAAACTACAGTGAGCCTTCTACAAAAGAAACTTCTGAATGCTATCAGAACATTCTCCACCCAAAATAGGCAGATGGTAGGCTAGGTGATGCAGAAATACAGTGCAAGTGATCTCAAATAGTGCACAAAGCACTGGAGGCATTGTTATACAAAAGGAAGATTGGTGTGGGCATACAACAATCAACAGATGACCCTAGTACCTTTGATAAGAGGTACAAGTGGGTATCCTACCACTTTGTACACGCAGGGTCCCATAATGGTTGTCAACCTGTTGACTATTTCGTCTTGGGGATATCAGAACTACTTATTAAGCAGTTTATGATTGATGTTTTATGCTATGCTAGGACATTAGATGACAAGTGGTGATGTGGAATTATGGATGACCAACGCCAGCCTGCTCAGGACTTACATGCCCTTGTGTCGAAACACATTATTACACAGCATTGTTTAGAAAAAACATTGCCATTTATATGCCAATTACTGGCTTCCCACATGCTTAGAAACAATGCCATTTCTGCCTGGTAGTAGCCGGGTTACAATTACTATCAAGACAGAAAATGTTACCAGCAATTGGAGCAACTTGCAGCAATCTTACCACTCTAAGTAGTCGCCCTTGCGTTTCTGCCCTTTTCCCTTCCTCGTACGCTATCTTGAAGAGATGAGTGAGATCAGCCACTGCATATCTCGTTTCAGTAGCAGCCAACGACCGGATTGTATCAATTGAAGAAGCAGCATCACTGGTGAATTCTTTGCTTATCTTAAATTCAGAATAAAACAAGTCAATCCCCAGTTCATCATCACATTGTAGAAGCAATATATGAGATTAACCCACAAAGCTCAAATCAAACTACAAGCTTAACTTCAGAATAACAAAAGGCAATCCCTCAGTCCATTACCACATTGCAGAAACAACTTCTGGAATTCATCAAACCACAACACTAAAGGCAAGCTGAAGAATATCAAGAAACTAGCATAGGTTAATCAATACGGAAAATTCTGTGGGGATAACACTCAATTGTTCTTCAGATGGGGGAAATTTTGGGCAACTACTCAGTTCTCATGTCCATTTCTTCATGTATTCGGGTTTGGCATTCAAATGGGCAACATCATAAATCGTTAAGCAACCAGATCTGCAGTGAGTGGCAAAAATTTGCACACATGAACAATATTTGTACTGAAACCGTTAACCCTAGAAATCAGGGGGCGTGTACTGAAGCACTCCTCGTCTGGTTATCTAACCGAGAAAGTGAAGAGACAAGGGGGGCAGCAGATACCAAGGAGACGGTGTCGCGGAGGGAGGCGAAGGCGAAGCGGTGGTCGGGGCACATGGTGAGCTTGCTGTGGAGGAAGAGCATGAGCGCCTGCTTGACGGCGTCCATCCGCCGCACCGCCGGGCGCGCGGGGCGGGGGGGCGCCGCCGGATCCATGAGCGCGCCGGGGCCGGGGGAGCCGGTGGAGCCGGAGGAGGCGGGGGACGCGGACGCGGCGGCGACCTTCATCTCGGAGCGCGCCTCGGCGTCCACGTCGACGCAGAAGAGGATGTCCTCCAGCGGGAGGCGGCTCGGCGGCAGCAAGAACTCCGGCGAGGTCGCCGGCGCCGCCGCGGCAGCGCCGGAGGAGGAGGAGGAGGAGGACGGCGGGAGGCCGTGGCGCGGGGGGTGGTCCATGGGGGGTGGATGGATGGATGGTCGTCGGGATCGGGTGGGGGTGGCCTCCGAAATGCCGGACTCGAGGGGTGCTTTCACTACTTGCTCGCTTCTTGTGACTGAATTTACAAATTTGTATCCCACGCCCCCTTGCAAACTTTCGGGTTGTTCAAAATGTTTACATTTTGTCCATTTTTACGAATTGCGGTCTTTACTACTCCCTCTGTTCACTTTTATAAGATGTTGTACACATTTCAGACAGTGTGCAAAACAGCTCGATTTCGGTTGTCTGAAACGACTTATAAAAATGAACGGAGGGAGTACTAATGATGTTTACAGATGATCTATTGGTGTGTGGTGCAGCAACAAAGCAGGAAGTTGAAGCCATCCTTCAGATCTTAAATCATTTTTGTTCCCTTTCAGGCAAAGTCGCAAATTGGGCAAAGTCAGGAATTATGTTTACTACTAATGTTGATTTGCAGCTCAAACGGGAAATTAAAGGTTGTTTCCTGTCCCTGATATCGGCATCTCTTTCTTCATTTTGGACATCCTCTGGTCTTGCCTGCTAAGGATAGGTCTGTTGCTTACTCATCTGTGGGAGACAAGTTTAAATCCAAGCTTACAATGTATAAGGTAAACAGAATGTCTCACCCCGCTAGGCTTACTCTTATTAAATATGTTTTTTTTCTTCTATTCCTGTTTATTTTATGTCAAATATTTTGTTCTAAAAATATTGCTTGCTAGTATCACTGCTATCATTAGGAGATTTTTGGTGGACAGGGATAAAAGATGATAACACTTTAAGATATCTTTGCTTAAGGGCATGGGTTGATATTTGCATTGACAAGAAAAGTGGTAGTTTAGGTATTAGAAATCTCCAGTCCTTGAATCAGAGCTTGATTCTCTCTGCAACTTGGAGAATTGCTCAAGACTCAACTAGTAATCTTGCTCTTATTTTGAAGTCAAAATACAATGCTGACACTTCTATTTGGAGAGCTCATTCTAGTTGTCCAAAAAATGCTTTTTGGGCTTCCATTTTAAAGATAAGACCTCTATTGGAATCTGCTTATTTTACACAATTTGTTGATGGCCCCTCTTCCATTTGGAGTACACCTTGGTTTAATAGTTGACAGAACATCTATAACAATCTTGTCATTCAGCAACCACCTTTAGTTATCCTACAACTATTAAAGACTTGTGGATCTCAAATCTTAAGGCCTCGAACCATGATCTAGTTAACTCTCTTTTTACTCCACATGTGGCCACAACCATTTTAAACACTCCTATCATTGATGATGTGGGCCGAGATATGCTTGTTTGAAAACTCACTCCTACAGGGTAGTTTTTTACAAAAAGCGCATGACATTGTTTCAAAAATTTGCAGTTGCCGCAGATCCAGATGCCTAAACAAGTACCTCAATAGGTTATTAACTTGCTCAATCAGGTTTGGGCTGAGAAGCACATGATCCCAAGAGTCCAGAATTTTGCTTGCAGACTATTAAGAAGAGTCCTAGCCACAGGTAAAATAATAGATTGTTTTTCTAGACATATTTCACTTATCTACTCAAGGTGTAATATAGAGGAAGATGATATGCATTTGTTTTTCGGATGTCACTTTGCAAAAGTTGTTTGGTTCTTGCGGACCTGGTTTATCAACACTGACTCTTTACAACAACACCAATCTATTCCTGACATCCTTAATTTCTTGCTAAATTCTAATCATCACTTCGTGTCAGTTAATAATCTTTACACTATGCTTTGGTGCATTTGGAAAGCAAAAAATGATACTCTTTTTTATCATGCTAAAATACATCCAAAAAAGGTTGTTGCAGTCTTCTCAGCTTTAATTGCAGGATTTTCAGATCCTTGACGCAAGCCTGCAGGTCCAAGCGACCAACTGATGATCAACGGTTGTGTCGGCAACAACATGGAATGCTACAACATGTTATTCCTATTGCAGGTATAGACATACATATATATTCATATGCAACATGGGCCCCATCGTCTGGTGGTCAACTGCAACAAGAAGGATTGGGCGTCCACATCCAACTTCGTCAGCATCATGCCTCCAGCATCTATGTTGCATCGTTGTCTCTGCCAGTAGGCTCTTCTCTGCAGGCTGAAGCGTGCAATCTGTTGCTCACAGTCAAGGCGGCAGAAGCTCTTCGTCTTCATGATGCTTATTTTCTCACAGATTCAAGGGTACTTGTTTTGACTGCTAGGTCGGATCTAAATGCGACGAAAGGACCTTGGCAGATCAGGGCCATAGTATCTCAAGTCTGAACCTCTTCTAGTTTTCATCCAAATAGGTTATCATACATATCCAGGACACACAATGTGAAGGCTTATCATCACTCTAGGCTAGCCCTTCAAATCACTACCTGTAGTGTCAGGTGTTTGTCATCATCAGGATCGTGCCAATGTCCTGTGTTTACTGTCCTCACAGTCTCGAGTGTTTCACCACTTAGACTGATGCTTGTAAAATGTACTTGATGCTTATCAATAAGGTCATAAAGTTTTTTTTTTAAAAAGACAAGTCTTTTGCCTCGTTTAATAAAAATACATAATATGCCTTTATTTGGTTTGTGTATTCTTCCAGGCAAGACTTCTATCTCACAAAATATCTTGATTCTGATTATTACCAAAACATGTATAGAAGAAATAGAATGCACATTGCATAAGAATTAAATGTTCTTTCTAATAGTATAGTTTTCGTAGGAATACAAATTTATCTTCAATCCTTTACCCTTCATCTTGTTGGGAAATTTAGCATGCAATTTTAAAAAATTTCCTACGCTCACGCAAGATCTATCTAGGAGATGCATAGCAATGAGAGGGGGTGAGTGTGTCTACGTACCCTCGTAGACCGAAAGCGGAAGCGTTTGACAACGCGGTTGATGTAGTCAAACTTCTTCTCGTTTCGACCGATCAAGTACTGAACGTACGACATCTTCGAGTTTTGCACATGTTCACCTCGATGATGCCCCTCGAACTCTTGATCCAACAAAGTGTCGAGGAAGTAGATGAGTTCCGTCAGCACGACGGCGTGGTGACGGTGATGGTGAAGTTATCCGCGCAGGCTTCCCCTAAGAACTACGAGAATATGACCGGAGGCACAAACTGTGGAGGGGGCACCGCACACGGCTAACAATTGTTGGTGTGTGTTCTAGGCGGCCCCTCCCCATGTATATATATGTGGGAGGGGGAGGGGAACAGCCTTGGGGCGCCCCAAGTAGGAGGAATCCTACTTGG